GTCCATGGAGTCCGCAGTGCAACGGAGCAGGAGGCTGAGGAGAATGCGACGAGGAGGGCGGGGAACGCAGGGGAGGCGGGCGCTGCAACGCGTAGCGGAGACGCGCCGCCCTCCCCTACCGGCCAGCCCAAACGCGGGCAAGAGGGGCGCTCCTGGCGAGACCTGCAATAGGCTCTGTCTCCCCAACGCGTCCACGCCCCCCAGGAAGACCATCTCCCAGTCACTGGGCACCTTGTCTTAGCAACATCTACAAGTTTCGATGCTGTGCCTGCCCTCCTCCTCTCCACCCTCCCTCCGCTCCTCCTCCCTCTCCTCTTCCACTCCTCTTCCTCATCAGCACCTCTTCTCTGTCGCACACCGAGGCCGGTCGAATGGGCGGGCCGGGCGTTTCGCCCGAGACGCCCTCACCATGTATGACCTTGAAGCTTGAACATTGCAACATTTTCACGCGTAAAGGACTGGCCGCTTCCAAAATGTGGATCTCACCTTAGCGCCGCGCACATTCGTCTTGGAAGTTCGCGGAAGCTTCACGGATGGAGGGCGGACCGTTTTCACCATAAGGCTCTCGCATTTGCGCCGCGTACATTCGTTTTCAATATTTGCAGCAGCTTCACGATTGGAGCGCGGGGCGTTTTCACCATGCGGCTCTCGCCGGAGCGCCGCGCACATTCGCCTTAAACGTTCTCAGCAACTTTGCGGGTGGAGGGCGGCTCCACTTCAAAATGTGGCTCTTGCTTTCGCGACACGCACATTGGCCTACGAGTTTGTACCACATCCAAGTATTATGATGGTAGTCGTCCCAGAAGTGCTGTTTTGGCATGGTGTCAGAATGTCAGGGCGCACCAGTCACGTTCATTTGTGGTGCTGAAGTCCCAGGAATGGTGCTCTGCCACGATTCAAGACCGTCAGGACCCAACAGTAAGGTGACTCGCGTGTTGAAGTTAAAGTTAAAGACGGGGCCTTCAAGGCAAAGTGCAAGCACACAGACAGGGCCAGACGGGACCCGCGTTCCCGAGAGACGCCGAGTCCCAAAAGGCACCGAGGGTTGGCGGAAACCTGCTCCCAGGCGGAGCAGCAGGCGCGAGCCACAGCGATGCAACCTTTCACTCACTCACTCACGGACAGGCCGCCACGGCGCGCCACTCGGCGGCGCACCCTGCGGCCTTCCAGTGCTCCGCCCTCCGTGCCAGCCGCGGCGGCGAGCCCCTCGTCGACGACCCCGAACTCGACGAGGTTCCCCACTCTCGCCGCAGCTGGGCGCCGCTTGGGCGGGCTGGCGGCGGCCGCGGCAACGGCCGCACCCGAGGGGCCTCCTCCTGGCTCGCGGCTCCGCAGCTGCTGCTGGGGCGCTGCCTGCACTGCTCGCCGTGGCCGAGGGGTCTGCAGCTGACTCCGCTGCCGTGCCAAGCCACTCCAGGTACCGCTCCTGCGCGTGCTCTGGCACTGGACCCTGCGAACGCAGCGTAGGAACGCCCTCTCCTTTCACTCTGTGCCTGGCAGCTCGTGACCCCTCTTGCCTCCTGCCTCCAGGATGGAGTCCTCGTAGCCACAGGCTGCGCTGGTTCCTGCCGCCCTTGTCGGTCCTGTCGCCTGGGCACCGCTCCTTGAGGCGAGGCTTACCCCCTGAGCGGCCGACCAGCGTCATGTAGGCGCCGCACTTGGAGCACGCCACGGGCTCCTGGGTGTCCTCACCTTCTCCCGCACAGGCGTAAGACAGGGCATGCCCCAGGATGCTGAAGGCTACTGCACTGGCCGAAAGGGCTGCCGAGCTGTTGCCTGTCGAGCGGGCGCTCTCCAGGCGCGGCCGCTCGGCCGACGGCCCCTCGCCCTTCGCCTCCTCCGCCGCCTGGGGCCACTCTGCGTCAGCGAGGCGCGCCCGGCGCCGCTCGGCAGCATGAGGGGGCCCTTCGCCGCCCCTGGCCCCGATGCCTTGCCCTAGGATGGCGGCATGCCAGATCCAGCGCCCGAGTTCCCGCGCGAACCCCGCCTGCGCCTGGTGCACGCCAACGGTCAGCTTGTCCACTGCATACATCTGGGCCCCCCTCACGGCAAGGCGGTCGGCGCGCTCGCTGCCGCGCCTCTGGGCCTCCGCCAGGCGCCCGTCGAGCACTGCGTGCCTAGAACCGCCGAAGTTGACTTCCTCCACTGCTGGTCCTGCGAGGGTGGCGAGCAACCAGGCCTCCACGTCCTCGCCGTCCTTGGCCGTCCGCTGCGGGCAGCGGTCGCGCCCGTCTGCGCCGCAGACCTCTGCCACCAGGTTGCCGTCGCCGTCGCGGCGCGCAATGGCTCCGCCCTCCCAGCGCAAGTGGCCGAACAGCGGCTCGAGCGTCGCGCCGTCGAGGTACAGCTTGCCGTTGAGCTTCTCATCGGACGGCCCGCAGGAACACCGCACCTCCATGGCGTCGGTGCGGCGACCCTGCGGTGGCCTATGCGCAGGCGGCCAGCTGCCTCTGCCGCGCCGCTGGGCCTTGTGCACAGGGCTGCCGTGCTGGCGGCGCCACAAGGTGCCTCCCTCTGCTCCGCTGCAGCGTGCTCGCCCCTGTTCCCGTGCATCGGGAAGCCTGGCCTGCGTCCAGCGCGGGTTGGAGCTGCAGGCCCCCAGCAGGTTGGCGCCGTGGCTGAGTTTCCGCGTCTCGTGACGAAAGGGTGCACTTCGAGCGCGTGGGCCAGCCTCCCAGCCCAGCTCCTGGGGCCCGCTGTGCATGAGGTCGAGCTCGTCGCCGAGGTCCGCGACCATGCGCCGCTCATACTTGAAGTGCCAGTCGATACACGCGCGGGCCAGCCTGTCCACGTCGAGGGGGGAGGCGCAATGCTTCCATGGCGCGTCAGTTCTTGCGCGCCTGGTCTCCGCCGCCTCCAGCCCACTGCCTGCCGCAGGCCCACCATCATCTGGACTGCGTGGCCTGCCCTGAGGGCTGCAGGGTCGAGGTTACGCCTCCTCCTGAGCTCGCCACAGCGCAGGTGCAGCCCTCGCTCTGCGCCCATGGGGGGCGCTCCTGCGCTGCGACAGGCCGCCAGCCTCCAACCGTGCAGCTCGCCGTCCGCGTTGTCCGTGACCGCGTGTCCGCTCATCCTGCTGGCCGCGGGCCCAGCCTTGTGGATCGGGTCCAGCCTGCGCGTTCGGCGAAGCGCTCCTGCAGCTCGGAGTCTGCTCTCATGTGCTCCCCACCCCGTGCTGGCGGGGTCCCAGCCGAGGTTCCTGGCCAGCAAGGTCTCGCAGAGGGTCCAGCCTAGCGACTTCCCGCACGCCCCGTGCTGGCGTCCTGGGCTGGGGCTCGGAGCCAGGAAAGACGTCTTGGCCGCGCCGAGGGGCGGGTGCTGACCGCGGGGGCGGCGCACCACTTCCAGCCCTGCTCTGCCGAACCACGCGGCCACCAGCTGCTCCGTGCCCACGGCCTGCAGCGCGATGTCGCCGTCGACGCAGCGAGCTATACCCAGCGGCCTGCCGCCCGCTGGGGCGGCGCGGAGGGCTGCCAGCCCAGGCGGCTTGGCTACAGTGAGGCCACTCGCACGCCCCGCCAACCCTGCCCCGTTGGCGCTGAACGTCTCGGTGGCCAGGCCCACGACGGAAATGAACCGCGGTCTCTGGTAGAGCACCGCGTCGCCGAAGGCAGCGAGGCTGTCGCGGTAGAAGCCTTTGGGTCCCAGCGAGCATGCCAGCAGCTGCAGGCCTGACGCAGTGGACACTGTGACTCCACACCAGCCCTGCCTCCAACCTGCGACGCCGCCTGAATTCGCCAGCTGGCCCTCCTTGTCCGTGGGCGCCGACGCGTGGAGGAACGCCGTAGAGCCCATGCGCCGCCGCGCTGCTCCTCTGGCCTCTTCCAGGCGGTGCGGAGCCAGGCGGGTCTCCTGGTGCCCAACAAGGCGCGGCGGGGCCCCGCTGCGCGAGCCCGAGGCCTCGGCCCCCCCCCCAGGCTCCACCTCCATGCGTTGCCGTTGACCCCGAACTCCTCCAGCCCGCAGCGGTCATCCTGATCTGCCGTCCCAGTCTGGCCTGGCGCCGGCGGGGCCTGCGCACTCCCGAGGTCGAGGGGCCGCGGGCCTCCGAAGCGGGCCGCCTCAGCGCCGCCGCCCTCCTGCTGTCTATGCAAAGCGCCTCTGGCGTGGCTACGCGCAAAACAGCTGTGGCCTCTCGCCTCCGCCGCGACTCCCAGCGGCGCGGCGAGCAGGGCGAGCAGCAAGAGGGGCCAGCTCCTCAGCCTCGGCCGCCAGCTCCCGCTTGCACGCCTGGGCGACCTTCGGCCACTCACCATGGGCGTCGCCGCGTCGTTCGGCCTGGCCACGCTCCGCGGCGCACTGCGGCCGCCAGGGCCTGCAGCCTCCTGCGTGGTCGCCGTCCTCGCCTCGCTGCTGATCTCGTCCATGGGGCACGACTCCGCCCAGGGCGCTCTCCTCGGGGCGGCAGGGGCCTCGGCAAGCTGCGCGCGCACTGCCGCAGCTGCGCCGCGGCCTCCACTCTGGCCTCCTCCTCGAGGGCGTGGAGCGCACGGCTGGCCTCCTCCACCTCAGCGTCGAGCTGCGCCAGCTCCTCCTGGGCCTTCTGCAGCTGGGCCTCGACGAGTCCACGAGCCTCTTGCTTCTGCTCCAGGCTCTGGCGCGCTGCACGGAGGCGCTTCTCCGCCTTGCTGATGGCGTTCGCCTCCTTGTGGAGCATCGTCGCCAGCGGCATGGAGGACGCATTCTGCACCGCTGCGGTCCGCTGGGCCTCTGCCAGCTCGGCGCGCTTGGCCTCCAGCTGGCTGGCGACGACGTCGGTGAAGCAACAGTCGACTCCGTCGGGCGGCTCGGCCTGCAGCGCCTCCAGCTGCTCGACCGCCACTTGCAGCCTCTCGATCGCTGTGGCGCCGCTGCCGCTGGGCGCCCCGCTCGCGCCCGACGCCGAGGTCTGCGACTTGGAGGTTGCCGCACTCGTTGCCGCACTGCGGGCCTGCCGCTGCGCACGGCGCCGCGCGGCTGATCCACCCAGCCGTCCTTGTCCGCCTAGGGCTTGGCCTTGGCAGCAGCATCCAGCGCCCAGGGCGGGGCCGCGTACCCACAGCCAAGGCACGTGGTGCGCCAGTCCCAGTTCCATCCACCGCAGCTGCACATCCAGTACGTCCTGCTGCGCCTGCCCCCGCTGCCGCCACCCCGCGAAGGCCGCGCCATGGCCCAGGCCACGTGGGCTGACAGGATGCGCCTCCGCGCTGCGTGTGCAGGGAGCAAAACAAAGAATTGCACTGGCCCAAAGCGAGGAGCCCCTCGCGCTCGGAACGCCGCGGACGACTCGCGGTCGTCGGGTGCTCCATGGCCTTGAGCCAAAATGGCTACGGAGGTGACTCGCATGTTGAAGAAGTCCCAGGAATGGTGTTCTGGCACCATTCCCGAGCTTCGAACGGTTGTCTTCCAAAGAGGGGCAGCCCCCTCCGTGAAAGTGATTCCTTGCAAGGGCCCATGAAGAGGGAACTTGGGGCGTTGGAGGGAGGGTTTACTCGGCATCGCTCGGACGTCCATTCCCTGTGTTTTTTTCAGTTTCGTGCGTGGTTTTTTCGCCAAGTGATCAAAGATGCTCCTCGATGGTCTTCGCCGAAGGAAAAATCCACACGTCCGAGCGATGCCAAGTTTACTGCAATATTGATGATGGGTCTCGGGGTTGCACTGGTCCTCCTCCTCCATCTGGGCTAACGTCCGGAGGAGCCGAGTCGGCAGCGGCAGCGCCTCCGGTTAAGCCCGAGGGTCAGCTGCTGGCCGGCGACGCGTCCGAGCTCCAATGCACCCCCGAAGCGAAAGCCAACGACCCAATCACTGCTGTGCCTACTAGCTCGCGCGCGTGCTCGACGTCCTTCCTCTCCTCCCTCATGCTGTGCCTATTAGCTCGCCTATGAGCTCGCGCGCGTGCTCGACTTCCTTCCTCTCCTCCCTCCTGTGGTGCTGACGTTGGCCCAGTGTCGCGTGCAGCTGCCGTCCCCGCTGGCCTTGCGCTGCGGCACTGGCTCTGGGCCCTGCCCGGAACTGAATATGAATACTACTCTCCCTCTTCCCCTGATGGCGTGCTGGGAGTAGCCGACCCCCCCCCCGCGTCCTGCTTTTTTACACGCAGGATTCCCGGGAGTTGGGTTTTCGCCTGCATTTGTTTTCAAAATGCTGCTCTCGCTGAGGCGCCGGCCTCATTTTCGGGCCCCGCTCGTTCCGAATCGTGCTCCCGCTGCAGCGCTGGCCTCATTTCCGTGCTTCCGCTCGTTCCGAATCGTGCTCCCGCCGCAGCGCTGGCCTCATTTCCGCGCATCCGCCCGTTTCCACTCGTGCTCCCGCTGCAGCGCTGGCGTCGTTTCCCGTGCCATGCCACAGCACACGCGCACACACGCGCACACACACACACACACCACCACCACCACCACCACCACCACCACCACCACAACCACCACCACCACCAGCACCACCAGCACCAGCACCAGAACCAGCACCAGCACCAGCACCAGCACCAGCACCAGCACTGCAACCACGCACACACGCACGCACGCACGCACGCGCACCACCACCCACTACGCACGCGCGCGCGGAGCCACAGGTCCGCTACGACACGCGTCCGCGGATAGAGAAAATCAGCGCCATGAAAAGGGATGGGAGGGAGGAGTAGGACGTCAGATATGACGCGAGCGCACCTAGCTTGTCCTCCTCCCCCTCCTCCTCCTCCTCCTCCTCCTCCTCCTCCTCCTCCTCCTCCTCCTCCTCCTCCTCCTCCTCTTCCTGCTGGAGGAGCGGCGGCAGGGAGGGATTGAGAAGGGGGGCAGAGGATGGAGGGTGGAGAGTGGAGGGTGCGGGAAGGATCTGCTGATCTGCATCGTACCCTTCGTGCTCCTCCTTTTCCACCTCCTCCTCCTCCTCCTCCTCCTCCTCTCCTCCTCCTCTTCCTTCGTCTCCTCCCCCTCCTCATCGGAATCACCACCACCACTATCTTCGGCATCGTCATCAGCAGCATCATCAGCAGCATCAGCAGCAGCATCAGCAGCAGCATCAGCATCATCAGCAGCATCATCATCAGCATCATCATAAACAACAGCATCATCATCAGCACCAGCACCAGCATCAGCATCCTCCTCCTCATCATCATAAACATCGTGGTCATCAGCATCACCACCATCATCATCATCATCATCATCATCCTCATCATCATCACTATCCTCATCATCAGCATCGCCACCATCAACATCATATTCGTGATCAGATTCAGCATCATCATCCTCATCATAATCGTCATCATCGTCATGTTCCGCATCATCGTCAGTATCAGGAGCATCAGCACAATAATCATCGTCATCATGGTCATCACCATCGTAAGCATCATCCTCATCATCATGCTCCTCCTCCTCATCATCATAAGCATCATCATCGTCATCATCATAACATCATCATCATCATCAGCAGCATCAGCGTCATCATCAGCATCATCATCACCAACACCATCATCATGAAAATCACCATCATCGCCATCATCATACTCAACAACACCATCATCGTCCCCATGAGTATCACCATCACCGTCATCGTCACCGTTAACAGAGTCATTAACACCATCATCGTCATCATCCTTGCCGCCATCAGGATCATCATCCCCATGATCACCATCGCCATCACCATCATCACCATCGTTCAAAGTCACCATCATCATCATCACCGACATGGTCATCATCATCATAATCATCATCATCATCATCATCACCATCAGCATCAGCATCAGCATCATCATCATCACCATCATTATGATTATTATTATCAGCATCATCATCATCCTCGTCGTCGTCGCCGTTGTCGTCGTCGTCGCTGTCGTCGCCGTCGTCGCCATCGCAATCGTCATCGTCATCGCTGTCGCCGTCGTCGTCGTCGTCGTCTGCTCCTCCTGCTTCTGCACATGCCACTGCCCCTGCCGCCCGCGGGCTCCCACTCCTGCCCGAGCGCGCGTGCGCCTCTGCTGCTGCTGCTGCTGCTGCTCATCGCCATCCTTCTCCTCCTCCTCCCCCTCCTGCCCCCGCCTCCCCATCCTCTTCATCCTCCTCATCCTCCCCTTTCTCTTCTGTCTTCTCTTCCTCCTTCTGGTCGTCCTCCACATCCTCCACTTCAGCCTCCTCCTTCACCTCCTCCTCCTCCTCTTCCTCAACGTCTTTCTTCCCCATTCTCCTCTTTCTCCTCCCCCTCAACCTCCACTTCCTCCTCTTCCTTCCCCTTCCCTCCCCCTCCGGCACAAGCACTGCCGCCACCAGCATCATCACCATCACCAGCACCAACACCGACACCAGAAACAACACCCAACGCCACATTCACTACCGACACAGCTACCTCCCTCGCAATTCCTCCCTTCATCCCTCCCTCCCTCACCTCGTCCTCTCTCTCTCTGTCTCTCTCTCCCTTCCTCCCTTCCTCCCTCTAGCCAGTGGCTGAATCAGACGCAATCCAAATCACTCCTTCTATATGTTGAGAACTCTCTCTCTCTCTCCTTCCCTCTCTGCACGACTGGATCTGCCTCTACCTCTGTCTCTCTCCATCTTTCTTGGCCCCTCCCCCCTTCTCCCTCGTCCCTCTCTGCAGGTGGCTGCCAGCCTTCAGATGGGGACTTTGGAAGGACTCCAGAAGGGAGTCAAACTCCGACCCGAATCCAAGCTGGTGCCGCCTCTCCCCACCCTCCCAGATGTCTCCCCTCGACCCCCTCTCTCCTTCCCCCCCCCCCTTCGCCCTCCTCTCCGTGCCCTCTCCCCTCCCCGAACCAGAGAGGAGGCAGGCTTCCCCCCGCAGTGATGCCTCGGGGAGAGGCCCACTGGCCCGGAGGCGCAGCACAGAGGAGGACACTTGGGCACGTCCGCGCGCGAGAGGCACGAGGCCGTCCCACGACCTCTCGGCCAGCACCCACCACTGAAGGGGCCCAAGGACACACGAATAAATACACACAAATAACAGGATTCCCTATATTTTCCTATATTTTCTGGGTTTCTGTCGTCCCCCCCACTTCCCATATCTTCCCATATTTTCTGGGGAATCGAGGATTCAATGTGTCTGTGTGATTGTTTCCTCCTGAGCCACACCCGCTGCGGCCAGAGAGAAGGAGCCGGCCGCAGCACCGGACGGGGCCGGCCGCGGGCCCCCCCCCCCGACCCCGACCCATCCACAAGACCACCCCGACCCAACCCGAGGGCCCGAAGTTCGGGTCGGGGCGGGGTGCGGGCTTCAGGCGTGCCTTATCAATGGTGGGCCCGCTGTCCACCACCACCACCAGAAGTTGGAGGGGGGAAAGAGGTGGAGGATGAGGAGGAGGAGGAGGAGGAGGAGGAGGAGGAGGAAGACGAAGGGGAGGAGGACCCCATCCCCCTCCAACTTATGGTGGTGGCGGTGGAAAACAAGCCCATTATTCAATGTTCCCCGACCCCCCCCCCCACTGAGATGGAGGGAACATCGGGGCCTTCGGGTCGGGCTGAGGTGGTTCGGGTTGGGCGGAGGCCCCCTCCTGTGCTCGGGTCTGGGCCTCCACGAGCCGCGCACGGAAGAGCTCCTCGGAGAAGCCCGGCAGGAACTCGCAGTCGTCCTCGACCACGAGGAATCCGCAGGCCTCCTCGTTCGGAAAGGCGGCGCTGGGCACACCGCCGGCTGCGCCAAGAGGCACTCGAAGGCCGCTCCTTCTGGATGGACCCTCTGCGTTCCCGTCCTCCCCGCCTCCTCCTGCTGTTATCCCCCGGTGTTTCGCTCGGCCGCGTCCCGTGGCCGCCTTGTGCGCTCGATGGGTCTCCTACAGCGTCGCCGATGGCTTGCACAAGCCAATGTCACAGCATAGACTGTGCCACGCAGCTTGCAACAAAGAGATTGCACCACATCGCGTGCACCACCAGGGCTGCACCACACAGCTTGCACCAAACATCTTGCACTAAGAAATGTGTCCCGAATGGATGTCACCGCATAGCTTGCGCCGCACAGCTTGCACCACACTGGTCGCGCCACGTAGCTTTCACCACAGAAGTGGCACATCCAGAGAGCTGGGGTCCACGTTGGCAAACATATTTGGAGTAAGAACCGTCCCATCCCACATTTGTTGGGGACATCGGCGCTCCAATCAAGATACACATTTCCTACGCCGTCACCTGACCACCCCAGAGGAGTAACTCGGACAAAGGCTCCCAAGTCACGGGTGCTGCGACACGGCTTGAAGCATACCATACCAGCTACCGCCGAAACGTGGCCACCACAAAGCGAGTCAAGAACATGATCCCCTGGAAGGCCCAACGTCCCAAGACAGGCATCCAAAACGAAGGCGCACTGCTCGGTGGAGAGCCCAAACACGACGCACATCTAACTCTGCGCACACCCCACCGCAATCGAAACAACACGTCGAAAGAGGTGTGTCTCTGTTTTCCTTTATATTATAAAAAAACTGCAGGAGAGATCCCATCCACTTCAACACCTCCCCGTCCTCGGCGGCAGCCTCGAGGCGCGAGGGGCGAGGACGGGGTTCCCAAGAGACTTCCAAGCTGCAGGTGCATGGGAAGTAGCACCGCGTGTTGAGATTACAACCGAAGCCCCCCTCCCCCTTCTGACAAAGAGGGTGCTTTCTTTAGACGACTCCCACAAGTTCAGTTGCATGACGACGGGGCGGGGGGCGGGGCGAGGCCCAAGAGAACATCTCGACTTCACGCAAGTCAGGACGCACTTGCAAGCCTTCTTGGCCCAGCGCTGCTCGAAAGGCGGCGGAGGGGGCAAACGAAGGGGAAGCGCCACGATTGTGAGATTGCATGAGTCAAAAGGAAGATCTCCTCCGAATGACAGAATCGACTAATAAAAAGTGCACATGCAAAAACTGTTGCAGCGTTGTACGGATTTCTTGGATCGGCACAGGGGGGCCCCCTGGCGGCGCCTCCAGCGCAGCCACTGGTGCGCTCCGCGCGCCAGGGAGGAGGGTCCAGCTGCCGATCCAGGAAGTCCGCGCGGAGCTCCAACAATTTATGTTTTTTGCCGCTGCATCGCACGAGATGAGTAGCCCCAGTCTGCCCCGCAGGGCTGGCGCTGTCTGGGCGAGGCCCCCCAGTGCCCAGAGGGGGCGTGGCCAGCAGGAGCGACGTCAGTCGTAAGCATACCTGCTCGGAGTCGTTGCAGCCTGAGTCGCCAAGGCTGGCACGCGCGGATGAAATCGGGTGCTGATTGATGCGGGGGCGATGCACGGGGGGGGCGGGGGAGGGGGGGGGGAACGTGCACCTTTCGTGCCCCTTTCGGGCCTCAAAGGGCTCCTCTAGGCCACCAGAAGGTGCACCTCTCTTCGCTCCCTCATCTACCGGCCCCCAGTGCGCAGTGCCCGCGAGGGGGAACGTCAGGGGGGGGGACCAGCTCAGGGGGGAGGCCGGGGGCGGGAAGGGTCGAGCTTGCATCGGCGATACGTCGCCGATAGATCGGCGACGGGCCCCAGATGGCACATGCGAACGGTCCTGGGCGGGGTGGGCTGTCAGGCCCCTGTCAGCTTTTGTGGGCGACTGGGGGTCGATGTGTCCCCCCTCCCCCGAGCCTTCCCTGACGTTGCCCCTGAGCACAGGCGGGGGAAGCCCCCGCAAGCGCCGCTGCGAAAGCAGAGCGGCGGGGACGCATGGCCAGCCGCGTACCCTGGTGTACCTACCCTCTGCGCGTGCAGTCGGGTGGACGTGTCTTGCCCTCCACTGTGTGCTGCGCAATTGCGTGTGATGTGTTGTATGCTGTCTGCGCGCGCGGCTCCGAATGTCTGTCGGCGCGTGCAGCTCTGTATGCTGCTCTGCGCGTGTGTGCGCCTGCCCGCACGGCACGGTTCCGTGTGGGTGAACCATGTGTGCCTCGCTCGGGCTGCGCGAGCCCCCCGCCGCTCTTCTGAGGCCTCGGTGGCACTCTCCGGGCACCTAACTGACAAACTCCGCCGCGACGTCGCGCGCGTGGCCGCGACGCCAACACAACTTGTGTCTTGCCTTCTTCGCCCCCTACAAATTCAGCAAGTGTAGAAGAGTGAGCCGTCCAGTCGTGTCCCTCTCAGGGGGCGTAGAGCTGCCAGTCGCTCCAGCGGCAGCGGGTCTGGCAAACTCTCTGACAAGCAACCCGGCCAGGGAATGACCGCGCGAACATGTTTAAACTATCCATCGTGAGGGCCCACACTCGAAAACGCGAAGTCGCACTGCAGCAGGCACAAGCACGTGTCTTTCGCACATGGTGGAGTGCCGCAAGGGGCAGCCATAGTTGCGAGTGGTAGAAAGGGTCTCGATCTCATGGGCTTCTGGGCAGCGCACGAGCTTCCAGGAGGCCAGAACTGTCGACCAACTTTCATCGCCTTTCAGAAACATTCGCCTGGTTCGCTCGGTTGTCCCACCCGAGACGGCACCCGCAAGAAAAGCCTCCGGACTCCCCCGAGGACCCCCGGAACCCCCCTGGAGAGCCGCAGAGGCACCCCAGAGACCCCTGGATGCCCCCTGGTCACGGTGGCGGAATGGGCCGCAGGCCACTGGATACGCAACCATCAGTGCCAACATGCTCGCACAAAGTCTGCGCTCGGCCGTGCATATACGAACGCTTGTTTGGCAGGATTCCCGGTCGGCGGCTTTTTCGAAGCACATGCCCTGCAAAACAATATCCGAAGAAACACCTGGGCAACATTGGATAACTCCGTCTGGGATTACACCCGCCGGTCTGGCGTGTGAGTTTCAAAGGGCCTAAGCTACAGCCGACAGTCTGCGCTTCAGCTCTGCTGGGTGGGGGCCGGGGTGGCTCTGCCAGGAAAGGGGGAAGGGGTGGGGCCCTGCCGCGCCTGTGCTCCGTTTTCTGGACGGGGCTGGGCCACGTAAAAATCCGCCAGATTCCCATCCCGCAGGCCAGAGAGCACAAGAAGGCCACCAGATATTTTCCAGACGGCTCAAGATGCACCCAATATGGCCAAGGATGCCCTCCAAGAAGGCTCGGAGAGGCCCCCATCATTAATTTTCGAGATGCTTTGAAATTAATTAAAGGAGTTGTGCGCTTCCTTATTTTCGACCTTCCGACGGCCCCAGAGGCCCCCAAGATCGCCCCAGAGGCCTCCAAGATGGCCCCATGACGGCCCAGGAGGCTCCTAAGACGGCCCTAAGAGTGTCCCAAGACGGCCCCATGGGCCCCCAAGACGGCCGAGATGGCCTCCAAAACGGCCCTTAGCGGCCCCAGAGTGCTCCCAGACGGCGCAGCGAGGCGCCCCAAAACGGCTTTCGACGGGCCAGGAACGCCCTAAGACAGCCAAAAAGGCTTCCAAGGAAGCCCCAGGAAGGCTCAACGACCCCCTCAGGAGGCCTCATCTCACGATGGTCCCAAGAGGTCCCCAAGACGGACCCACAGCTCTCCAAACGAACCCGAGCACCAGCGGGAGCGCCCTGGATTGGCGCACTGGCCGGAAGCCATTACAATAAACTGGCGGCACATTTGCCGGGTACATCAGGCATATACAATGAGAAATCTTGCTAGAATAATCATTGAGGCACATGATTCGTCGTTATTCGAGGGCCCTCAAATGCCCCAGAGTGTGGGTCCATTGGGCTATCTGGGGATAAGAACCTGTCGTGGGACACATGTTGGGAGGCCGATGTCTTACTTGACTGCTTGACGTGCCTACTGTAAAGGTTCCACTTCCGCGAGGACGTGTGCAAACGCAAGGCCCAACCTCGGACAGATCCTCGCCTTACCAGATCTGCCCCGCCGGCGACAGCTTTGCGCTCAACCGAAGCACCCCAAACAACTCGCGAGCACAACGCCACGGCATCCGCGAGGCCAGAAGTTGGGATGGCAGATGTCGGGAGCGGCAAAGAGGGGGGCGTCCAAGAGGGGGGGGTGCAAATCATGACCGGCGGCATGTGCGCGGCCCAGCGGGGGGGCCAGGGACGCAATGAAAGAAGAAGAGGCGCCATGAGATCTGGGGAAAAATCATGGCCCGCGCCATGATATCCACCCCCCCCTAGTCATCCCCCCCCTTTTCCGCCCCCGACAAATGGGGGCAACGAGACTGCATGAGCGCACCGCATGAAAACGGCCAATTCGCTAATCGACGTGTCAGGGTAGGAGGTCTGTCCACCTCCGATCCATGAGGCCAGAAGTTGGGATTTCAGGGCGGCGGCCAGCAGCCAATCACATGACGCACCTAGGGGCAACAAGACCGCATGAGCTCACCGGGATCCTGCGCCTGCCGGCGTGGACCTCGGCAGACCTACCCCCAACGCACGCGGCGCCACTCGAGGCGCCCACCGGCGCCCACCAACCGGGCCCCGGGCGAAACCCCAGGCGAGACCCATTCCATTCCTGGAGGCCAGGCCAAGTCAGAACCCCTCAGTGCGAGCAACGCTCGGGAACCACAATCAGGGCAACCGCCCTCCTACCCTGACCTTCCAGAGAGCTATGTTTTAGCACTGGGGACCTAAAAACCTAAAAAACGGAACGAAACTGCCTAAAACCAAGACGTAGAACAGCTCTGGGATAGATTTTTAAGTCGCGTGCTATTTTTTAGCACTCCTGGAAGGTCAGGGTTGAGGGCAAGCCAAGTCAGAACCTCTAAGTGCGAGCGCCGCTCGGGAACCACAAGCAGGGCAACCGCCCTCCTGAAGGCAACCGGCGACTCGGCGACGCGCCGAAAGGGGAAAGTGACAGGGGCCTGGGCAGTCCTTCCGAGAAGGCGGCGGGGCTTCTCAGAAACCTCCCGGCCTTCTAGGAGGCTCGCTGCTGGGGGCCCACGTAGCCTCGTCTCTCTAATTACCCGGGAGGGGTGGCGACGGAAACTGCGCCTGAGCTGCGCGAGCGTGACCGAAACAGTTGTGGCTGTTTTTTTGATCCGCGGGTCGAGAGCGAGCCTCTTCCGGTCGAAGCTAAGCGGGCCGCGCACAGCTTATCAGCAGAGGAAGGAAAACAGAAGGAGGGGCCTCACGTCAAGGCCAGGAGAGGGTAGCGTGACCGAAACAGGGGCCCGGCTTTCTCCCGAAGGCGCCCGAGTGTGACTGGAAATGGCAGGGCCCGAAAACGACACGACGCTCCAGGTCGGCCACACGTTCTGCCGCACTCCGCTCTCGGCCAGCATCCTTTCGGGCCCGCGCCTCGTCGCCGACTTTTGTCTTGCTGGCCGCCGACACCTCTGGCCGACGGGGCCCGGGTGCCAGGAGCAGGCCCCAGAGGCCCGCGGAGCCTTCAGAGGAAGGAGGCGAGGCCGCCATCGGGCCGAGCGTGACACGTCGAGCACCGAAGGCCGTAGCCTCGGGGCATTCTCCGGGCCCCCGACGTCGTGATCTCGGGGGCGTCCACGAGGGGAGAGGCCAAGAGGGGGGGGGCGCAGGGCATGGCTGGCGGCATGTGCGCGACCCCAGGGGGGGAGCCGGGGACGCATTGAAATAAGAAGAGGCGCCATGACATCTGGGGAGATATCGTGACCTACGCCATGATACCCACCCCCCGAGTCATCACCCCCCTATTGGCGGTCCACGATAATCGCGTCACTCGACTCACTCGACCCCCAAAGGTCTGGACCCCTTCCCCAGAACAGGCATTTCATCCTGAGTCGTTTTTTTCCCTACCTAGGCTCTGCCTAGAAGGGTTCTTACCGTGCAAGCTTAAGGGGCCGGGCAGTGCTCCCCGCCCCGGGCGGTTCCCCCAGGATCCGCCCCGCGGTTCCCCCAGTTGCGCCCCCTGGGTTCACCCAGCTTAGCTTAGCTAAGCTCAGCTTAGCTTAGCTTAGATTATCTCATCTTAGCTTAGCTTAGCATAGTTTTGCCTAGCCTAGCTTAGCTTAGTTTAATTTAGCTAAGCTAAGCGTAGCTGCGTTTATAGCATCTTAGCTTAGCTTATCTTAGTTTAGCTTAGCCTAGCAACTTTTTACCTAGCCTCGCTTAGCTTAGCTTAGCTGGTCTTAGCTTATCTCATCTTAGCTTAGTTTGGATTAGCTTAGCTTGTCATAGCTTAGCCCAGCTTAGCCTAGCCTAGCCTAGCTTAGTTTAGTTTAGCATAGCTTAGCTTACCTTAGCTTAGCTTAGCTTCGCGCAGCATAGCGCAGCGCAGCATTAGCACAGCCTAACATAGCATAGCATAGAATCGCCAAGCATAGCATATCATAGCAAAGCTCAACATACCACAGCATAGCATAGTATAGCCAAGCATAGCATAGCGCAGCATATCATAGTATATCATAGCATTGTTTAGCATAGCACAGCGCAGCATAGCATAGCACAGCATAGCATAGCAGAGGCATCGAATCGAGCACCAAAGACCGGATCCTCGGGGCACTTGGGCGCCTCGCTGGACGGCCTGCGAGCACCAAAGGTAATCGACGCTGCGCGCTGAGAGCTTTGGGGCGAGGCGGCCCGCATCGGCATCTGGAGGCCAGTGAGCCACCAGGAACGGGAGTGCCTCAGGAGAGGTCGCTGCTTGGGTGTTCGCGGATGTTCGCTCACGGTCAGGTCAGCAGCCTCGCGCCAGACGGCGCGCGAGCAGGCTGAAACAAGACGAGTGCGCCTGCAAAGGGCCCTCCGGCACCTCGCTCGGCGCCACGAGGGAAGCGCTCGGCGACCGAATTTTTGAACCGGTTGGTCCCGGCAGTGCAATAGTATTGCAAACCAACACATACTATACCAGATCCACCTCAGGCCGGTGTTGCCCTGGTGGTATTAGTCCCAGATAAGTATTTGGCCCCGAGGTAGTTATGCATTTTCCCTCTCGGGTCGTACTGCCGAACGTCTCCGTACCCCTATCCCCCCTCGTGTGTCAGGGCAAACCGAGCAAGCAGATCCCGTTGCCGTATCCTCGCCATGGTGTAGACCATGCGGACACGACAGCAGTGCCCGTTGACGAGGGGGCAAGAAAAACGTGGGGTGAAGGAGCGTGCACCTGTCGTTCCCCTCTGCGGCCCGCGGCGGCAGCCAAGGAGGCCGCGTCGGGCCCCTTCAGAAGACCGCTTTCCTGCAACCCTCGATCCCCATCCACGCCTGCTGCCCCCCCCGGGTGCCGTCCGCTCGGGCTGCCCTGAGCCCTGCCTCTTTCTGGGGGCCCGGCTGCGCTCTTTTGCGGAGGAGGAAGAGGAGGAGGAGGAGGAGGAGGAGGAGGAAGGAGGAGGAGGAGGAGGAGGGAGGAGGAGGAGGGGAGGAGGAGGAGGAGGAGGAGGAGGAGGAGGAGGAGGAGGAGGAAGGAGGAGAGGGCGAGTGGCAATGCAAGGGGGGTGACCTGCATGGGGGTGAAGAACAGGGCCCCAAAGGAGCACCTTAGGGCTCCTCTTGGAGCCAGCAGAGGCCCCAAAAGGGGCCCTGAAGTGCCCCTTTCGGGCTCCTTTTTCGACCCCCCCATGCAGGCCGCCCCCACAGGCCCCCCTCCCATCACCACTCGCCCGACTGCATCCCTCCTCGGCTCCCACGGAGCCCCTGCTTGGGAGACCAAACGCTACCGATGCCGCTACTCCCGGGACCTCTCCCGGCATGCGTTCTGACCAGAATGTCGAGGCGAATCCAACGGTGGCGACGAGGGCATCCGAGAAGAGGACAACAGGCGGAGGGCAGCCACATCGATATACCTCGTCCTCCTCTGATCTGCAGGTCTCTCCGGAGCTGCCCCTGGAGGCCCCTTTTGCGTTGCCCAGACGTTCCGATCAGGTCTCCCGAGGCCCAGGCCACCTAACCTCGCACATCTCGCGGCCTGCGATGCGCGACGCGCGGTTACCTTCGCGCACTCGCGCCGCCATCCTGGGGAAGCGCGCCTCTCCACCATTCCCAGGCCCGAGCCACGATGCGCGAAGCAAGGTTCTGCTCGCGCCCCTCAGGGCGACCCGGCGGAGCCAGCAGTGCTTCCGAACCCCGCGGTGGGAGTACCCAGTCGGTGATTAGGCACGGCTTTCGGTGAGCGGCGGAGGCCGTTCGGCGGCGAACCCGCGGGGGAAGCAGAAAGCTCGGAAGCCCCCCGGCCTTCCGAAGAGCTCCGCGCCCTCCCCGAGGACACCGGACGCTCTTCAGAAGAGGCGCGTGGGCCTCCGAGACTTCCCGCCGCCTCCTGACGGGCACCTCTGCTTCTCGCGCCCCCACCCCCCCTCGCTCGCCGCCGAGTCGTTGTGGGCACCCCGGCGCGCAGCACGCGCACCTGCACGCCCGCGCACGCGCACGCGCGCGCTGCGAAGTCGGCGAAGGGCAGAAGCCGGGGGGGCGCGCGCAGGAGGGCCGCCCGCCGCCGCAGAGGCTGCCCTCTGGGCGCGCCACCGTCGAACTCGCCGTTGCCACGCCGCCTCATGATGTCGATCCAGACCTCCATGTGAGACAGCGCGCAGCCCAGCGCGCCTGAGGCAGCAAGGCCGCGCCAGACCGTTCCGCTCCGTGCCCCGTGCGCCCGGCTCTCCCCATGCCCCCTCTCGGGTGCGAAGTCCTCGCCCGAGGGCGCGGTAACAGAGGATGAGGAAAAGGGGGCGGGAGAGAATGGGGGATCCATTGGAGAGTGGGAGGAGCAAGAGAAGGATAATGAGGAGGAGGAGGAGGAGGAGGAGGGGGAGGAGGAGGAAGAGGAAGAGGAGGAGGGGGAGGAGGAGGAGAAGGGGGAGGGGGAGGAGGAGGAAGGGGAGGAGGTACAGGAGGAGGAAGAGGAGGAGGAGGAGGTGGAGGAGGAGGAGGAGGAGGAGGAGGAGGAGGATGAGGACAAGGAGGAGGAGGAGGAGGAGGAGGAGCAGGCTGCGGAGGGCGCGGGAAGGATCAGGTGGATGGTTGATGGTGACGGCGGAGGGTTGTGGTGCGGAGGAAGGGTTTCACACCCGTGTGCACGCGCAAACATGAGCGACACCGGTCTCGGCACGTCCGCGCGCGCTGCGCCCTCGCGGGCGGTGTGCCGTCGGCCTCAGCCCCTGTCGCCTTGGCCGCTGCTCGGCCTGGCAGGCTGAGGGATGCTGCCAGGTCCCAGGGGGCCCAGCTTCGCGCGGCCCCGCGGCACGCCGTGCCCCGCGGCGCGGGGCCAGCAGGGGGGGGGCTGGCTTGTCTCGCGCATGCCGGTGAGCTCGAGGAGCACCGCCCAGTCGAAGGGGCCCATGCAAACTGGCCCAGGGGTTGCGCCGACCCCGATCTTGCCAGCGGTGGTCTCTGCGTCGGCCGAGGAGCGCAGGTCCCGGATCTCGGCGGGAGCGGCGTTGACTGGTACCGCGCGCCGCTCGGCGTTGGTCTTGAAATGGGGGCCTCGGCGGACGCGAAAACCCGCCGCCGCCCCCCGGGCGGCCGGGCGGGGCAAGGCGGGGCGGAGGAGGGGGGGCCGAGTGGCCGCGGTGCGCGGCCAGCGCCAACCGCCCCAAGATCTCCCAAGCGCACATGCTCCCCTGGACGGCCCGAAAGTTTGGAGAGCTCCAGCCAGGCCTCCGCGCCTGGCGAGGTGATCTCAAGACGGCGCACATCTCGGCGACGAGCTCCGGGGCGACAACGAGCCGCCCGTCGAGAAAGGCGAGCTGCTTCGTGCGCCGCGCGGCCCCTTCCAGTCTCTCTCGCTCGAATGAGACCCCCTTGGCCTCGAGGGCCGGTCGGCGGCACTGCTCTCCCAGAACCGTGGGAAAAAAAAAGGTTCAAAGCTGAGCCCCGACGTCCGCCAAATCCGACCCCTCGCCCGAACCCGTCGAAGTCCAACGCTCAGTTCGAATGGGCGGCGGCGCCCAGAACGCTCTGGAGGAGCAGGGGCCATTGGCCGTCGAGAGACATGGCGCGCCCCGACGGTCGCCATCCCCTTTTAGATGGGCTTCCAAGAATCGCCAGGCGACATTCGGGTGGCCATGCCCCTCGCGCGCGGGGCTGGTTCCTCCACTTGCGTGGTCATGTCGCCAGGAGATTCAGCTTTGCCCCCCCCCCCCCCCTCCAGGCCGCCGCCGTCATCGCGTCGCCAGGAATCCGATGGGGAAGGGGCAGGAGGGAGCTCGCCGGGGTCCTTCCCATAGGGGAACCTGAAAAGAAGACGAAAGTGGCCCCGTGGAGGTACACCTCGCACTGCTTGAAAAGCCAGGCCGGGTCATCGAGGAAGGTGACAGCGAAGCAGTCGATCGTGCCAGCCGCGGGGCGCGAAACGGAGGTCAATCTTGCTGGCCGTTGCTGGGGTCGCGGACGAGGCGTAGGTCTTCTCATTGGGCGCGAAGAGGGTGGGGCGGATCATGTGCTGTCTTCCAACCGCGAGCGGATCAGCTCGCCCGCGCCCGCGCGTCGTCTCTCTCGAATACGGGTGCTGCCGATCGCGGTGGAGTCAGACCCTGCGGCTCCTGTTCCCCGATTCAACGATGATGTTGGCATAGAAGTAGGGGGTCGTCCGACATAGGGTCTGGGCAATGATGGACCTCCACCACTGCTTGGGCCTCGAGAGCTTCTCGTCATAGACAGCGTCATCACAGTGCGAGCGCGGCCGCGGCGGGTAGCGAAACACCCCGGATGCAACGTCTTGCAAGCCTTTCTGGATACGCGCAGCGAACCCTCGTCCCGCAAAGGGCAGCGGAGGGGTCCACGTTTTATTTAAGTGGCGGTCGGCAAAACCAGCACGTAGCATGATAATGCAGGCAGTCGCACGAGTCGTGAGCCCAAGCTGGTAACTTGACTCCAGGACCATGCGACCTCCCATGCGAGAGCGGAGCACGCGAACGCCCTGCTGACAGGACGCCCGCGTGTCAGCCGGGAAGACGGCGTCTTAGGAACGGGCGTGGCACAGTATCTCCTGGAGGCGCAAACCGCTCGCCAACATCGGGTTGTAGCCTACCGGTCGTACTGCGGAGCTCCCCGCTGGCACCATCTGCTGACGACATCTAGCTCGGAGCCCATCGCAACGGCAGCGGACCTTAACGGCGCGGGTGCGCTGAGAGCCCCCCCCACCACCCCACCAGAAACATCGTTAGGAGCAAGGGTGTTGAATGAGGAGGATGTGGGGGAGGAGGAGGGGAGGGAAGAGGCGGAGGAGGAGGAGGAGGCGGGAGGAGGAGGAGGAGGGGAGGGAACAGGGTGGGGGAAGAGAGGGGGGGGACGAGTTCAAACCCAAGACTCACGATGATGTTGGATTCAACCGTTATTCTAAGCTCCTCTCCATTGGCCCATACAGTGAGTCTGAAGGGATTGCCCCGTTGGGAGACAACCGTTTGAAAACCCTGACGCGGGCAAAAACAACGTGCCCATGGTTTCAACGCCACGACTTAACATGATTGTTGCGTCTTGACGACCCTGAACCACTCCACGACACAACTCCCCGGACATCAACACCGCGAATCAACGTAAATCTTGCGCCCTGACAATCCGGACTCGCTCGCAAGCGCCAATCCCTAGTACGTCGAATCCGTGAAACATTCGCATTTCGACACAAATCTGTGCGGTGCTAGGGCGAAAGCCACATGTTGAAATGGAACCGATATCAGCCCGTACGACCCTTGAGACGAATTCGCGCGGCGCTAAATCGAAATCCACACGTTGAAAACTAGCCGCCAATAGTCAGTGAAACTTGTGCAAAAGCTTAAAACGGGTATGCGCGCCGCTACGGCGAGAAGCACATGTTGCAAACCACCCACCCTCAATCCGTGAAGAACTTGCAACTATTGCAAGCGACTGCGCGCGGCGCTGAGGCGAGAACCACAGCTTGAAAATCATCCGCTTTCAATCCGCGAAGCGCTTGCAAACACTCAAACACGAATGCGCGCGGCGCTGAGGCGAGAGCCACATTTTGAAAACCACCCGTTCCCCATCTGTGAAAAAAAGCTCCAGATTTTTAAGCTTCAGGAGCAGACGTGGCGAGGAAGTCTCAAGCGAAACGCCGGGCCCGCCCTTCCGACTGGCCTTGGGGCTGCGAGGGGGAAGAAGTATTGAGCAGGAGAAAGAGTGGAGGAAGACCCACATCCCCGACATCGTGATCTCTTCAAAACGCCTTCCCCCAGAGGTCTCGACCCCTTCCCCGGGACCGGCTTGGCTTTTCATTCTGGATCGTTTTTGTTGACGCTCCCGAGGCCCCGGCTTTTCATTCTGGATCGTTTTTGTTGACGCTCCCGAGGCCTAGGAAGGGTCCCCGGGACCCGAGCAAAAAACGAGAAGCCTCCCGTCGTGATTTTTGTTTCACAGCGCGAGGGGGCCTCGGGAGGAGGACGAGGGGGGGAGGGGGAGGAGCAGCAGCAGCCACAGCGGAGCGGGCGGCGCGCCCGGCGTGAGGTCCATTCCGAACACCTTGTGCTCGTCGGGCAGCAGGAGCCGCGCCAGGCCCTCCCTCCTCAGCTCGCCGCCCAGCACCAGCGACTTCCGCGCGCCCGCGGCCGCGCAGAGCGGGGGGGGGAGGGGGAGAGGGAGGGGGAGGGGGAGGGGGGGGAGGAGGGGGAGGAGGAGGAGGAGGAGGAGGAGGAGGAGGAGGAGGAGGAGGAGGAGGAGGGAGGAGGAGGAGGAGGAGGAGGAGGAGGAGGAGAAGGAGGAGGAGGAGAAGGGAGGAGGAGGAGGAGGAGGAGGAGGAGGAGGAGAAGGAGGAGAGGACCGACCGTCCTTTTGCACGGAGCAGTGACCCTAAGCAGGACTCAAAGATCCGATGCCCCGAACAAAATTGGAACGGCCGGTTCTTGGCCGTTTTCGGCCCCTGGGGGCTCTCGCTGGGCCTCGGGGCCTTCAAAAAGCGACTCAAGACGACAAGCCGGCCCTGGGGAAGTGATCCAGACATCCGGTGTCCACGCATCAAAAAAAAATGGAGCGGCCCGATGTCTGGGATGTGACCTTTCGAGGCCGCCTTGCGTTGCGAAAAAAACACGACGGGGACAGTTTCGGCCTCTGGGGGCCCTTCTGTCTCGGGACCGTCAAGAAACTGTTTCAGGATGAAGGGCCAATCCCGAGAAGGGGTCGAGTGACAAAAAAAATGCGACGTCGGGGGTCTGGGCTTGGTGGTGCGCGGCTTCAGGGGGCCCGTGGGGAGGCCAAATCCAAACAATTCAATCGAATCAGCCCCTTTGCCTATCCCCTGCTATCGTTGCGCATGACTGCTGTTGGGACACCTGTGGGTCCGCACCAAGTGCCACTCGGTCAAAGGCCACTCTTCCGCGTAGGGGCGACGGGGAGCTTGGCGACCTGGCGCGAGGCGCTGACGTTTTCTATGCCTCCTGGGGCCCTCGCCGGGCCCTGGGGCCGTCAAGACACGGCCCGGGAGGAAGGCGCAGGTCCCGGAGAAGGGGCTCCAGCCAGACCTCCGGGGGGGGCCGGTCTGCGCAAAAGTCGCGACGCGGGCCCTGGGTCGGGCGGCGGCGAGCGGGAGTGAGGCGAGCGGGCCGCCCGGGGCCGCCGTGCTCAGTCGCGAGCCGCGTGCTGCTCACAGGCGGGCCGCGGCGTGGTCGGAGGCGCGCTCGCACTACCGCGCCCGCAGAGGTGCGCTTGGAGGCGCGGCCCCCAGAGGTGCAGGCGGTCCCCGTCGGGGCGCATGGCGACCCCAACCCCCGGCTTTCTAGGATCTTCGACTGTACCAAGAGTGTGGGGCTGAGCTCGGTGGCATCCGAAGAGGAGGGGGGGGCTTCCTTGGTATAGGGTGCGTCCGAATAGCCCCCCCCAGGGTTGTATCCCCGAGTTCCCCTTCTGTTCTGAGCGGAACTCTGGGGACCAATCCCGCCTCAAGCCCAGTCGAATTGTGCGTGCTGAAGCTCCAGGTGTCCAGGGCCCAGGGTCTCGTGAGTTACTTTTCTGGAGGCCTCGGCAGCGTGGTCAGCGGTGCACACTTGCAGCGTGGTTTGAAATGGTAGCAGGGCCCATCCTGGGGCCCTCCTGCAGGGGTTATTGGGCCGTCACGCAGGCCCCTGGGACAAGCTCCTGATGCGCCCAGGAATGCCCACGGGCCCCCCAAGATCGCCTCCAAGACGGACCCAAAGACCCCAAGAGGCCCCCAAGATGCCCCAAGATGTGGCCTCCAAGAGGCCACCACGGGGCCCCAAAGAGGCCTCTAAGATGCCACAAAAGAGGCCTCCAAAAGGCCTCCGAGGAGACCCCGAGAGGCGTCTAAGGGGCCCCTGGTCCACATCCAGGCACGGTGGCGGTCTGGGCCGTAGGCCAATAGATCCGCCGCCCCCTGTGGTCTTGCCAAAGGGGTGGCCGGCGTGCTGAGGTTCATGTGGCTTGGTTCCTTTAGGACTCCCCCTGGGGCTTCGGCACATCGCGCAAGGCAACTGGAACGCTTGCCAGGAGCCAGTTGGCAAGGATGTTTCCACCACAAAGGAATCCAAGATGTCCCAAGATAGCCTCCTAGACGGCCAAGATGGCCTCCAAGTTCGCCTGAGATGGTCCACTATGGCCTCCTAGACGGCCCAAGAGGGTCGAAGACGCCTCCAAATCCGCCCAAGAAGCCTCCAAAACGGTCCAAGATGGCACAAGAGGCCCCAAAGAGGCCTCCAGGTCGGCTCCAGCGGCCTCCAAGAGGTCCTCCAGAAGGGCCCGAAGAGGCCCAAATCAGGGACTTTCCATAGTTCGCCCTTTGCTTCTTTTCGGCCTTCCGACGGCCCAAGACGGCCCCAAGATCGCCCCAAAATGGCCGCGAAGGTTTCCGAGATGACCCCATGACGGCCCAAGAAGCATCCAAGACGGCCCTAAGAGGGCCTCAAGGCGGCCCAAGCGGTCTCCAGGACTCCCATGATAGCCTCCAAGAGGGCCCTGAAGTACCCCAGGAGGGTCCCAAATCGGATCAGAGAGGCCCCTAAGACGGCTTCCGACGGCTTCAGACGGGCCAGGACAAGGAGCCCCAAACAGCCCCCAAGAGGCCCAAGGAGGCTTCCAAGAGGCCTCAGAGAGGCAGACAAGCAGCTCCGAAAAGGCCCCAAAAGTCCTCCTCCTCCTCCTCCTCAGCATACTCCGCCTCTTTTTCCTCCTCCTGTATGTTTACTCCCCCGCGTGTTCCCCGAAGGGTTCCCATAACGGCTGGAAGAACACATGGTCCGATAGCTTTGCAGAGCTCAGGCCAAAACGTTCCGCCACATGGGCGATTCCAAAAGCGGTGATTGGCCGTAGGCGTCGTCGATCTGTGAAAACGCCCAGGCGGATGGTTGACGAGAAAGAGCAGCCCCCAGCAGCAGCAGCAGCAGCAGCAGCAGCAGCAGCAGCAGTAGCAGCAGCAACTGCTGATGACGCAACAGCAGCGGCAAAAGTACGCTGAAGGCAGTTATGCACCACCGCCATGACCGACCCGCGTCGCCCTGGGCCCTGATGGTGCATGCGTCCTCCTGGCCTCGGGCCAGGAGCGTCATCACAACATCCGAGGGCCCAAGAGTGGGCCTGGCCCTGGTCGGGAGTGGGTATGTGCATAGAGGCCTCCCAAATAGGGTCAGAGCAGATAGGGTCGGAGGATCTCGCCACATCGGGCAGCGGCGTCGACGATGCAGCGGCGACGCCCGCGTGGAGAAGATCGGGCTCCACATCGAGCGTCGCCGATGCTCCGGCGATGCGGCACGATCCTCCGACCCCGGTCACTCCGACCCCATCCGGCAGCCCTGGAATGCAGCATGCCAGGGCCCAGGATGGCCCTGGCCAGGCATGGCCGTGGCGCGTGACTGCCCCCTGCGGATGACGAACCAACAACACACACCCATACCCATAGGGGGGTCGGAAAGGGCTATGGGTGCGTGCTGTCGGATCGGGGGTCCCCGCTCGAACGGGAGCGTTCCCTCGGGTCCGACCACCCGCACCCATACCCATGGCCAGTCCTCCTCCCGACGACCCCCTTATGGTTATGGGTGTGTGTTGTTCGTTCGTCAGCGGATGCTGCCCCTTGCCGTCGCTCGGACGTCCATTTCCTGTGCATTGTTCGGTTTCGTGCGTGTTTTTCTTGCTCGATGGTCCAGGATCGTCCTCGATGGTCCTCGCCGATAAAAAAATGCACACGTCCGAGCGATGCCGAGGCCCCCTGCGGAGGCAGCAAACGCTGCGGCCCGCCTCCACGTCCACGCTCCGGCCATCCACGGCGCTCCACCGCTGGGCGGGCAGGCCGAGCTTCTGGAACTGGGCCTCTGCGCGGCGGCGCCCGGGCCCGGGGGCGAGCCTCGGCCCGTTCCGCGCGAGACGTCGTGGGTGTGCTTGTGCGCTTCGGCTCCTCCCCGAGCCCCGGGCATTGGCATGACTGGTTCAGTGGGACCTGGTGTAGTTAGGGGGAAAACAAACCTGCCTCGCTTTTGACCACCCTCGCTTCCAAGAGATACCAAGCGATGCCAAACTGCGGCCTGTACTGGTCAGGCCGCTTGACGAGGAGGCGCGTGGTATGACTTGGTTTTTCCTGGAAGCGAAACCGGGGTAGGTAATTCACGCTCTGATGTAGCGATGTGTGCTTGAGGACGCCTCCCCCGCCACCGTCCACGAACCGGAACTGCCAGCACCCGACAAACGCAAGCTGCGGCAGACCCCGTTTAGTGATTCCAACCTGTTGTTGCCGGCTTCGGGGCCATACCAGTAGCCGATTCCGCTGACCCAAGGCCTTGGCCAAACCCAAGACTTGCTCCTAAACCCTCCTCCCGTACATACCATTACCACAACTGGCCGTCCCGGTCGCCGCGAGATGCTCTCCTACTCCAGGGACGCCTGGTTCCACGATCCAGGTCGTCCGAAGCCAGATCGATCCCGCTCACGACGGGAGCCGACCCAATCCACCCCATGCCCATCTTCCGTCGCTCCACTCACCGCTCAAGCCCAGAGGCACAGCAAGCGCGCAGCATGATGCTCGGGTTCGGCCCGCACGCCCGCGCCCGCGGGAGCGGGCCACCAGAAGGGGCAGTCGGCAACGATACCAGTGGCGACGAAATAGCAGGAGTGAAACAAGTGGGGCCAGCGCGTGGGCAGCAACCAGTGGGACGGAGCAGCGCAGGTCAACGCCAACATAGCGCAAGCACGGCACGTCCGAACCGATCTGTGGCAGGGGCCGCAACAAACCAAGGACGACCACTTGTGTGAGCACACTTCTCCTCCGGCGAAGCGCCGAGCCGGGCCACGCTGAGGCGAATGACCACCTGGTGCAGCAGATGGGTGGATTGGATTGAGGCAGTCACATGCCAAAAAAACGTAGAAGCGGATGAGACACACACACACACACACACACACACACACACTTGCACAAACAAACAAAGACGTCCTGAGCTCCCCTATGGCAAGGCCACTTGCGCGACGCAAGGCCTCGATCAAGACTATGCGAGCTTGCCGCGGGAGAGACTGGCACACTGAGACGCACCAGGGAGCCTGCCGCAATCTCGCAAGAGCGCTCTTTGGTGCCACAGCGGCAGTGGCACAGTGATGCCAGTAGTCGCACACTGAGATGTACCAGCCAGCTTGCCGCTTTTTCCAAGGCCGCGATAACGGCGACGTTGCTTCACGGTGGTGCTGGGAACTGATTTGTAGGAAATCACGAACCACACTCACCTACATCTTCAGCATGCGAACGTCTCGCACGAAAACGACACAGCGAGTTGCAGGAATACGCGAGCCACGCGTCCCCACAACACCGAAACCTACATCGTCGTTAGTGTGTCTACAGGTTTTCGCGCACATGATCTCTTTGGAGCCACAGCGCCAGTGGCACACCGATGCCGATCAGCAGCGGCTGCGGCGGCAGGCGGACGACGCCTGCGTGCGATGCAGCGGCCCGCTTCCCGCTCGTGCTCTCCCTCCTCCTCACCGCAGCTGCCCCCTCGTCAGGCTCGGGGAGGTACGCAGGACGGTCGTGCTGTTCCCCTCTTCGTGTTCCGCCCCCTCCTGCACGGTGTCCCCCAGGGCCGTAGGCGACCCGAGGAGGGGAGGGCGAGGAGGGGGGAGGATGAGGAGGATGAGGAGGAGGAGGAGGAGGAGGAGGAGGAGGAGGAGGAGGAGGAGGAGGGGGAGGAGGGGGGAGGGAGGAGGAGGGAGGGAGGAGGAGGAGGGAGGAGGAGGAGGAGGAGGAGGAGGAGGGAGGAGGAGGATTGGAAGGAGGAGGAGGAGGAAGAGGAGGAGGAGGAGGAGGAGGAGGAGGATTGGAAGGAGGAGGAGGAGGAAGAGGAGGATTGGAAGGAGGAGGAGGAGGTGGAGGAGCAGGAGGAGGAGGGCGGGGAAGAGGAGGAGAAGGAGGAGGAGGAGGAGGGGGAGGAGAAGGAGGAGGAGGGCGGGAGGAGAGGAGGAGGAGGAGGAGGAGGAGGAGGAGGAGGAGGAGGAGGAGGGAGGAAGAGGAGGAGGAGGAGGAGGAGAAGAGGAGGAGGGCGGGGAAGAGGAGGAGGAGGAGGAGGAGGAGGACGGGTCGCCGAAGCCCTTCGGAGAAACCCTCCACCCCCTCCTCCTGAACCTCCTCTTCCTCCTCCAACTCCCCCGAGGGTTCGCGGACTTGTTCTCCTTGAGCAAGCGCGCTGGTCGAGGTCCTGACACGAGCTGTGCGACATACACAATGCATGGCCTGAATAGTGTAGACTCGAACGGCCGACTCAGGATGTACAGGGAGGTGAACTAGGAAGGCAAAGAGGAGGACAATCGCTAGATTGAATTCCAATCCCCACGGTTCCTATGAGACCAAGCTGCTGCGCGCCACTCCGCAAGAGTCCCTGAAAGCTTCAAAATCCGCAAGTTCTCCCCTGTTCCCTGGTTCCCAACACGTCCACGACCAAGACCACATGCAGAAGTGAGAAACGAGTTCGTCCCCGACACGGCCCCAATGTCTGGTCATCCTGGTCAGAGCCTCGAGCAGAGGTCAGCTGTGACAAAGGCGAGATCCCGAATTAATCAAACTACCATGTTTGGCCAAACATGTAACATAAGCGCAATCCAACACATGAGCGTGCTCAGGATATCGGGTCATGGCGGGATGGGGATCGATCACACAAATAAACCCCACGACCGACTACAAGCGCAAGAAGTCAATATCGGCCTCCATGTACTCCCAACGTTCTGGGCGCCTGTCCAAGTTGATGCAGTAGACGGCGTCGAAACAGCTCCACCGCCCCTGTCACGAATGATGCTAACGCGAGCCCAACGTCTGTAAGCCTGTCTGCCCGCTGCTGGTCGCATAGATATCTCATTATGTCTGCCTGGCTGTCTGTGAACATGTGTGTGCGTGCGTGCGTGCGTGCGTGCGTGCGTGCGTGTGTGTGTGTGTGTGTTTCTGTGTTTGTGTGTTTTGTGTGTTGTGTGTTGTGTGTGTGTTGTGTGTGTTGTGTGTGTTGTGTGTTGTGTGTGTTGTGTGTGTTGTGTGTGTTGTGTGTTGTGTGTGTTGTGTGTTGTGTGTGTGGGTGTGGGTGTGGGTGGGTGGGTGGGTCTCTTTCTTTCTTTATTCCTGTTCTTGTGTTTCTCTCTCTCTCTCTCTGTCTCTGTCATTTTCTCTCTCTATCCCTCTCCCTCCCTCTGCAACTACACGAAGATACGGCCGACTCCCGAAAGCCTCAGCCCAAAAACGCGGACGTCTCGCTTACTCGTCTTCCGCCTTCCGCCGGCCTTCCGCTGGCTTCCGCAAGCAGAGCCTCCGCCGTTTCACTGCCACCAAGGTCCACCGGCCTTCCGCCGGCTTCCGCCGAAGGCGAGAGCACTGCATTGGCACGGCGACGGGCGGGGAATCCGCCGACCCCTTCGGCTTCATCGGCGCGTGAGATGCTTCACCCTCCCAAAAAAACCTGCCCCGGGAGCCAAGTCCGGTCGACTTGGAGGGGGGGGGAGGTTCCCTGGGGATCGGCCAAACGCGCCACGGGGGGACAAGAGGGTCCCAAAACAGGCCAAGAGGGCACGAAGAGGCCTTCTAGACGGTCCAAGAGGGCCACGAGCCGCCGAAAGATCAATCGAAAACGACCACGCTGGCCTCCAGACGGCCAAGTAGCCCCCAAGACGCCTCAAGAAGCCCCAAGAGGCGTCCCAAGACGGCCTCAAAGAACAGCATTCGCCCAGTTCCCACTCGCATGTTTTAGCACATCCGCCCCACCTGCGAGCACAACATCCAAGGCAGCCAAAGAAGCAAAACGGCCCAAGAGGCCCCCCCCAGAGGGGTGTCAGACGACCCGAACGGAGGGACAGAGGGTCCCAAAACAAACCAAAAGGGCACCGAGAGGCCCTCTGGACAGTCCAAGAGGACCACGGGCTGCCCAAAGATCCATCGAAACCGCCCACGCTGGACTCCAGACGGCCCAAGAGGCCACCAATACGCCCGAAGCAGCCGTCGAGAGGCGTCCCAAAACGACCTATGCGCCTTTCCCGCGAGCGCAGCACCACTTTTAGACGACCCAAGAAGCCTCCGGGGCCGCCCCAAGGCGGCCCCCCAGAGGGATGCCAGACGACCCAAACGGGGGGGCAGAGAGCCCCGAAACAAGCCAAGAGGACACCAAAAGGCCCTCTGGACGCTGGACGGTCCAAGGGGGCCACGGGCCGCCCAAAGATCGATCGCCAGCGCCCACGCTGGCTTCCAGGCGGCCCAAGAGGCCCCCACGACGCCCCAAGCAGCCGTCGAGAGGTGACCCCAAGACGGCCTCAAGGCACACTTCCATGGGACAACTCGGCATCTTTAGCACACTCGCCTCACCTGCGATCACAACATTCAAGACAGCCCAGGAAGGCGACTGGGTGGCCCCAAGACGGCCCAAGAGGCCCACCCCCCCAGAGTGCCCTCAGACGACCCAAACGGGGGAACAGAGGGCCCCCAAACGGGCAACAGGACACCAGAAGGCTCTCTGGACGGTCCAACCGCCGCCGAACGATCGATCGGAAACGCCCACGCTGGCCCCCAGACGGCCCCAGAAGCCACCAACACGCCCCAAGAAGCTGTCAAAAGACGTCCCATGACAACCTCAACAAGCAAAACTCGCCCCATTCCCATCGGAAAACCTGCACGTGTGGCATATCCGCCTCTCCTGCGATCGCAATATCAAAGACAGCCAAAGAAGCCTCCTGGGCCGCCCCAAGACGGCCCAAGAGGCCCCCAAGAGAGCTCACAGATGACAAGTTGCTCCCAAGAGCGCGTAACAAAAACACAACGGTCCAGGAGGGTCTAGAGGAGGAACCCATTCGGACATCTCGAGCCTGCTACCCCGCACCGCCGCCCGGTTGTCCCAAGACGCCCCCAACAGGCTCCCAGGCAGCTCCGCTAGGCCCCCAAAAAGCTTTTCAGAGGCCCCCAGGAGGCCCCCAAGAAGTGCACCAAATGTTTCCAAAACGCCCCCGAAACGCCTCCAACGAGACCCCGTCCGCCATCCGCGTGGCGTCCGACCCGCAGCCCAGGTGCGGGCGGCGGGATGTGCCAAAGGCTACACGATAACCGTTCTTCTGGAATTTGAACGTACGCCCGCTGTCAATACAAGTAGCTTCTCGCCAGTTCCCCTGTGCGCGTACGGCGAACATTGAAAATGTCAGCCGCGGAAATACGCCACCTTGCCTGCAGCACGGAGTGCCCCATGGCTCATGCAGCCGTGAGACATTCAGAATCACAATTCAATCAAAAGGTTTGAAAAGCTCAGGCCACCAGTTTCACAAGGATTCCGGGGATTCCCGAGGATCACCCAGGCTTCCCCAGGATTCCCGGGGACCTCCCAGGATGTCTGGGGATTCCCTGAGATTTCTTGTGATTCCCCGGGATTCCCCGTGCGTGGCGCGCGCGTCCTCCTGTAGCGCATACTGCCCAACATGCCCGAAAAGCGCCCCAGAGGGCCGAAGATGCCTCCGAGAAGGCCCAAGGGTACCTTAATACTCCCAAGATGGCTTCAACACGGCCCAAGAGGCCCCGACGACGTCCCAAGTGTGTTCCAAGGGGCGTCCCAAAAGGGTCCCAGAAGGCACAACACATCGATTCGCCTGACCTGTTTGAAGGGTTTTGGCCTTCTCGCCCTTTCGGCTCTCCGACGACCGAAAACGGCCCACAAAAGCCCCAAATATCACCCCGAGACGGCCTAAGAGGCCCCCAAGAGGCCCCCAAGAGGCTAGGCCACTTGCAGATTTGATGCTCGCGCTGTCAATGCTCTGCTTTCCGAGGGGGTTGCTCATCGTCCGCACCTTGCTTCTGCATGTCCGAGCTCCGTAGCTGCCTGCACGCCCTCCTGTGCTCAGCTGCGTTCTTGAGAAGCCTGCCAACTCCGCGGCGAAAGAATCCTTTGAGATTCGGATTGGGACAGTCCCAAAAAGCTGACATTCTCAAGCCCTGTTCCTGGGCCCTGCAGATAAGAAAAGAAACGCCTGCGCTGAAGTCGGATGTTCTCGAGCCCAGGATGCTTCATGGCTTTAGGTGGAGCGGTGACGAGACGATCCCGATCAAGAGACGAACATTCACCGACATCCAGTATGCCATATACACGGCCTCGCCGTCCGCGCTTTTTCGCCACGTGGCCTCCACATGATCGAAGCACGCGCAGGCTCTGGAAGACTCCGTTCCCCCGTGAGCCCCAGAGGGCAGGTACAGTCAGGGCGTTGACCTAAGGAACCCTACATAAGGAACGAGGCCCCTTCTTCCCATCAGATAAACTTCGATTTCCCAGGGGAAACCTAAGGAAAACTGAAGGCAAACTGCAGAACCATCAAGGAACGCCGAGCCCCTCTCCAACGAAAAGGGTTCCTTCTTCAGAGCCCCGACTGTAAAGCCAAATCGCCGACGTTGCTCAGCCTGGGCATGCTCTCTCCGAGCACCGGAGACCCTCGAGCAACACAGAGGTCTGACATCTCGGTGCGCCTGTGCAGCTGGCCCACACCCCTCCCCAGCAGGCCCGAGACACAGTTTTTGTTCCTGAATCGCTGTGCAGGCCGAGTCGTTAACGCGTAGCGTCCAGCCTGTCCAGCCCCAGGCCCTGCCTCACTCTCAGGCCCCGTAGACCAGGACACGCTAGACCAGGACATCCAACATCCCTCGAAACCACTTTTTCCAGACGGCGGCACGAAAAACTGCACTGCAACACTCCTGGAATAAACCCGGACACGGGCTCTAAAAGCAGGCAAAGCGTCCCCAGACCCGGACACAAAAGCCCGAACCTGCAGTGCAGCAGCAAAAAAAACTGCCCTGCACGGCAACAGCTGACTTTGCGGACAACCGCGTCGTTCCCTCGACTTGCCAATGTCCTGGTCAGTCTGTGTCTTGGTCTCCGGGTACCCGAAGCTCGTGTCCGCGCCGCGCGGCGCCACATGGCTGCTTGCGTCCACGGGCGCAGACCTGGGGGGCTGCCGCGGCTGCTGCGCCCGCTTCGAGGCGCGGCAGCCGCGGACGATTCCCCGCTAGAGGAACCCGGGGTACTGGATCGCTGGCACCGCGTAGTACGGGATCTCGTCTGCGAGAGCAGCGAGCGCCATGTCCGTGTTCAGGCACAGCGGATGCTGCTGCTGCCAGACCACCGACCACAGCCTGGCCGAGACCTCCGGCAACTGCTCGCGCCTGTACAGCACGGCGCGCAGCCCCCGATTCACTCCGCGCCTGCAGCCCTCTTGAGGGTCGAGCTTGCTCGGCATGACCCGCATGACGTGTGGCGACACGCACGCGCCGTGCGGGCACTGCGACTTGAGTGACAACGCCTTCCAGTCGCACGGCGTCTCCTGCAAGAGGGAGCGCAGCCTCGTGGGGAAGAAGCTCGTCAGGAGGGCGTCGTCCTCCAGCAGCAGCACCAGCGGCTTGTCGCCCGCACGCGAGGCAGCCTGGCGCAGGGCCAGCAAGTGCCCCGCCGCCGTGCCCGCGGCAGCCAGGACCGCCGCCCGCGTGCCGAGCCCCGGCAGGTCGAGCGACGCATTCTGCGCCTCGGCCACGTCGTAGTCCGCCGGGAGGTGCTTGTGCCGCCTGGCGGCCTCCAGCACCGGCTCCCCGTCCACGGGCGCGCCGACCAGAGAAGCCGCGTCACCGTAGGTGTGCAGGTGCGTCAGGTTGACAGCCCAGATGCGCTGGAACTGGATGTCCAGCTCCTGCAGCCGCCGCACCATCACGGACCACCGCTGGGTGTCCTCCACTGCGTTCAGCACGAACACGGACACGTCTTTGCGCATCCAGTTCGCGTCCGCCTCCAGGTTGTACTTGCTGGGGGGCTCCTCGAGCTCGCCCAGGTGGCGATGGTCGCACAGCTCGTAGTGCCGAAGTGGTGTGATGTTCGCTTCTGTCAAGCGAGGTGCCTTGTTTATCCGGGCTGCGCGTTCTTGTGCTTCGCTCCACTGTACTTCGTCGTCCTCGCCGTTGCAGCGGCTGAGCTTCATCCACTCCCAGCACCCGTTCTGGCCTTCCCAGTGCGGCACCGACTGAGGGGCCGCCACCTTCTTGCACGCCTTGCGCAGGCCCAAACCTGCTGACCTCCTGCACCTGTGGCCTGCTGCTCTGGCCCCCGGCATTCTTTCCCAAAGGGGGGGGGAAGCAGGAGCGCAGCTGCCCCGACACGCAACATGCAGCACGTGGCGTGCTGACGCGGAACTCAACACGCAGACTGAAAGTGCAGGTCTGGCGCGATACCTTCGCCAACACGTGGACCAACACACGCCGAACCAACACGCAGCGTGCTAACACGGACGCTTCGAACACGGCACGTCTTGCGTTTCAACGCTGGCGTATCAGGGCAACTAAGAGCATAAGAGGGTGAGGGGGGGGAATGTAATGTAATGGAATTGCTAGAGGTCTCAAGGACGGTGAAACGAAGCAGGCTGACCAAACTGAGCAGGGCAAGGGGCGGGGGAGGAGGGCAGGGGGGGGAAGGAGATTCTCCGCCCTCGGGAGCCTCTGCCCACTCGCCGTGCAGCTGGGTCGGCGGTTCCGCCTGCTCGAGGCTGGGGACGGGGACGTGCTCGCCGCAGATTCCGACCCGCGTCCGCTGGTTAGAAGAAGGAAAAACTGCGTGAGCACACACGACCACGGTCCGCGCGGAATGCTTGGATCTGCGCTTGGCCCCCCTTTCTTGGCGCGCGGAGCGCGCCAGGGGCGGCGCCGCGAAGGGTGCCAAACGCCGGTCCAAGAGATCCCCTCCTCCTCCTCCTCCTCCTCCTCCTCCTCCTCCTCCTCCTCCTCCTCCTCCTCCTCCTCCTCCTCCTCTTCCTCCGCCTCCTCCTTCTCCTCCTCCTCCTCCTCCTCCGGAAGTTGATGCTTATGCAGTGTTGTCTTCTTCGAGCTGGTACAGCGTGCGGTACAGCTGGCTGGGGCCATCAAGGCGTGGCGCCGCTGCCGGAGGAGGGCAAGCTGAGGCGACGGCGGCTCTCCCGCTAAAGGGCCCCAAACCGCTGACGACCGGTCCCCGCGATGACGACGACCACCACCACTACAACTACGACGAGAACGAGGACGAGGACGAGGACGAGGACTAGGACGACGACGCCATCGACGACGACGCCATCGACGACGACAACGACAACGACAACAACCTCGACGAAGACGACGACGACGGGACCCCTCCTTGGGTCCCGTGCTGGCCCTGCCTTTTCGAGGCTGGCCCAGTGCGACGAGAGGCCTCCAGCCTTCAGCAGGAGCTCGACCACAAGAGAGACCCTCCACGAGCAGCCCGGCCCCGAGGCCCCAGGACGTCCCTCGACTCCTGGTGCGGGAGCGCAGCGCGCTCCAGCGCAAAACCATCGACGCCCAGGAAGCCCGGGGCACCCTGGAGGCGAGCAGGGCGTCTCCTGGCCTGGGCCGCCCCCGCGCGGGAGGCCCGAGGCGAGCGAGCAGCGGCCTTGGGGGGTCCAGTCCAAAGAGGGGCCTCGGGCATCCGGTGGCCGGACTGCTCCCGTGCGCGGCCCCGGAGAGGCCCCTGCGGGCCACGCGCGCGCCCGAGGAGGGCAGGAGAGCACAGCTGAAGGGGCCCCAGGACACACAAATAAATACACACAAATACAAATATTCCTAATATTTTCCCATATTTTCTAGGTTTTTGTCTTCCCCCCCACTTCCCATATTTTCCCATATTTTCTGGGGAATCGACGATTAATTGTGTCTGTGTGTTTTTTTCCCTCCAGAGGGAAGCGGGTCGGCGGAGATCGGCACCCAGGTCGGGAGAAGGCGAATCGGCCAGGCCAGTGAGGCCTCCACTGGGAAATCGGAATCCAATTGGGATCCGAAGTCGAATCGAGTCGGAATTTGGAAGCCAGCGAAGAAGTCGAATCGAATCGAGTCGGAGGAGTCGAAAGGAGCCCTGGGAGGGTGGTGGGGGGACAACAAAGCAAATAATTTCCCAGACCGGGGATGGTTTTCCTAATCATCATCCCGGGCACATCCCGCGCGAACACGACCCCCCACAATTTCTTAGTCATCGTTCTGCATTCCCCACTGCGCCTCGGACTTTATGGGAAAGGGAGCCAAAAGTCCGAGGCGCAGCTGATGCGGATAAAACATTTAGCATCTGGGGACCAGACGCTTATCCACATCCACTGCACCCCTGGCTTCTGGGGAAGTCAACCCGAAACTCCAAAACGCAGTGGATATGGATACAAGCCATGCGCGCACGGGATCGCTCCCCCCTCCCAGGAAGGGTCATGGCCCGAAAAGCACTTCCAGGAGGAGGGGAAGGAGAGAGAGCACAGCAAAGCAAAGAACTATCGGACCCAAAGTCTCCCTGAGCAACGAGACGGAACATAAAAAAAACTAAGTGGATCAAAGTGGCGGGGGAAAGGGAGGCGCAGGAGGAGAAGGAGGAGGAGGAAGACAGGGAGGAGGATGAGGACCACTGCTGGAGAGAAGGAGGAGGAGACGAGGAGGGAGACAAGGAGAGGGGAGGGAGTAGAGGGAGGAGGAGGAGGAGGAGGAGGAGGAGGAGGAGGAGGAGGAGGAGGAGGAGGAGGAGGAGGAGGAGGAGGAGGAGGAGGAGGAGGCGGCCGAGGAGGAGGCCGATTCTTGCCCTCCGCTCCGTTGCCGCTGCCCCCGGGGGGGGCCCCGTGCCGGGCCCCAGCGGCCGAGACCGAGGCAGCACGCCCGCACCGAAGGCCGCGACACCCGCGCTGGAGACTCTCGCGAGGAGGGCCGCGCCGCTGCCGGAGGCCTGGCCCTCCTCCGCTGCGGGCGGCGCGCCCGCGCCGGGCAGACCTCGTGGGCGGGAGGCCCGCGGCCCTCGCGCAGCAGCCGGGTGCCTCCCAGATGGGGCCCGAGCGGGTGGGGTCGAGATGGGGTCGAGCGGTGCGTCGGCGATGCATCGGCGATGCGTCGGCGACGCTGGCATGGTGAAAGTCGGGCCCCGCATCGAGCTGCATCGGCGGCGCATCCGCGGTGCGGCGAGATCCTCCGACCCCATCCATCTTCGTGGACCCCATCGAGGAGGCCAGAATCAGGAAGATGCAGGATAAGAATGCAAGGGCCCAGGAGGGCCATGCGGACACCTTTCGAGAGGGACGAGGCTAGCGATAGTGGCCAGCCACGCATGGGACGAGGGGGCAGGGATGCAGGGGCAATCCTGGAAAGTTGCTCATCCTCCTTGCTGCGCGCGGTGACTGTACCCGCATCCACGGCCTCGCGGGCTGGGCCCCTGGGCCGCGACCGCGGTTACGGAGCGTTTTCTCGCGGATGGCCGCCGCGGAGCCAGCGCGTGGGCCGCGGGGGCGTGGACGTGGAGACGTTCACCGACCTCCGACGTCCTGAGCTTCTCATTGAGAGGCCCGCGGAATCTGGGCCCTGTGCCAGGGGCCCGCTTCTCACCCCGAGTCGGCGCGTGACGGCTCCCAGACCCAGCGAGGGCCTCCGGGTGCAGAAAAAACAGCAGAACACCCTCCGTCGCACGCTCTGTCAAGACCGCGAGGGCGTCGACGTGGACACGGTCGACCCGCTGACGGAATGAACGCTAAAACATAGGAACGAGGCCCCTTCTTGGCCCTGTGAGCGCCTCCGTGCCCCAGGAGGGCAATGAGGAACAGCACTGCAGGAACCTGAGGAGCATCGAGCCCCCTCCGAACCCAAACTGTTTCTTGTTTCAGCGCCTTGGCTGTGCGGTCGCCGCTCGCCTTAAGTCGGGCCTATCCCCCTACAGGGGGATTTTCGGCAAAAAACAAGAAATTCACCGAAAATAGTCCAAACATAATCCAAAAGTAGTCTGGGGACTATTCTTTTTAATATATTTTGTGACCTTTGTGGGGCATTTTTGGGGTATTTGTTGATTTTCGTCGAAAATCCCCCTGTAGGGGGACAGGCCCGACATAACGCTCGCGAAGCCTCTCGCGGCCATGAGCCGCAGCGCCGACCGCCGGGACAGCTCCCGGGGTTGGCTTCGACTGGGAGTATCCAGGCGAACAGCCAGCCGTGGCGGCGGGGGCCTCCCGGGAGGGCCCCGAAAAGGCGAAAGCGAGGCAAGGGTCAGGTCGGGCCTGTCCCCGGCCTGTCCCCATACAGGGGGACTTTGAACGAAAACTTCTAAACACTCAAAACATATTCCAAAGATGCCCCAAAATGATCAAACAATAGTCCCCGGACTATTTGTTGTGACTATTCTTGAAGATTCCCCCTGTCGAGGGACAGGCCCGACTCAAGGCAAGGGGAGCGGTATCGGTACCTTTCCCAGAGATGCGACGTCTTGATGTTGTCCATGCGCGGTCCGCGGAAGTTCCGACCCGCTCACAGCTCACGGCTGCTCATCCAGAGTCGACCCGGCGAGGCCCCCCAGGGGCCGAACACGACGAAACAGCTCCGTCCTGGTTTTGCTCTAGAAGTTGCAAGGGCAGCGGCACCGTGAAGGCATTGGATAAGGAACAATTGGACAAGGAATCCAGGGTCTGGAAAAGCTGGTGGAACTCCGGTCGTGGATGCAAGATGCATACTAGAAAAGGACTCCGCCGGGGTCTGAAGCCTCCTGGGCGCACTCCTTAACGCACGCCCCCACCGTCTGGGAAGCCCCTTCTTCTTCTGAGGAGAAGCGATCGCCGCTCGCGAAGACCTCTTATGGCCAGCGCCGCAACGCCGACCGCCACTCCCCGGACCTCCCCCAGGGTTCCTCTCGACCAGAACTTCGAAGCGGATCCAGCCGTGGCGACGGGGGCCTGCCACGAGGACCAAAAAGGCCAACAACTGTTGTTGTTTTTTTACCATCTATCGCACGGAACACAGCCTCAGGAAAACGACGGCGGAGGTCCGTCGAACCGGACCCGGGGGCGACATGCTCCCCAGACGAGTGGCGGATGCCGCACGTCTGTGTACACTAGGTGTACAAGTCCGAATGTGTTCGTCGAAGGGTAGCGATTCTGGGAAGCCCTCTTCGCCCTCTGAGATACGATCGCCGCTCCCGAAGACCTCTCACGGCCAGAGCCGCAGCGCCAACCGCCGCTGCCGCGGCGCCCGCGGCCACCGCCCACGGGCTCGCGCGGCTGCCGCAGCCGCGGGCGCCGCCGGACCCCCGCCACCCGCCCGCCGCGGGGGGGCCTCCCGCGAGGGCGCCGGCGGCGGGCAGCAGGCCGTAGGGGGCACCAGCAGACTGCCCCATGGCTGGCACTGGAGCGGAAGAAGAGAAGGCGGCACGAGCATCAACTGGCGGAGCCTTGCGCGGATGTGAGCATGCTGTTCTTCGTTGTTCGCGGTTGTAAAGCTCGTGACCAGCCCGCCCACCCCCCTCCCGCCCCCCGTGGTCCTGTCACGATTCGTGCCGGCGCCGTCTGGGAATGAGCCATTCCCGACGGCGCTGGCGAGAATCGTGACGTGACTGGTCCCATGGCCCCCACCCCACTGGTCACGCCAGTCGTCATCGCCAGGGGAAAAGAACGATCTCCGTGGATATGCGCTGGATCTCCTTCCCTGGCGGGGGGTCCTTTCGCAGATCCTAGACATCCGCACGGAGCTCCGCCAATCTATGTTCATGCCGTGCCTTCTTTTCTTCGACGGGCGTCCCCGACACCCTCCCGTCGCGACCAAGCTCACGGCGGAGGCTTTTGGCAATCTTAGGGCTCGGTCTTTAGAAGCCTCCTGGATGGGGTCGGAGTAGATGGGGTCGGAGGATCGTGCCGCATCGGCAATACATTCGGGCTTGACATCGACCAGCATCGCCGATGCATCGCCGATGCGGCGCGATCCTCCGAACCCTTCTACTAGAACCCCATCTAGGATGCACGGTTTCCCCCCGGGGCCGTAGGCGACCCGAGGAGGAGGATTTTTCCCCCGCATAACATCACTGCCACATGAAGTTAACAAATTCTCTGGTTTATCTTCGGAGGAGGAGGAGGAGGAGGTGGAGGGGGAGGGGGGAAGAGGAGATGGAGGAGGAGGGGGAGGGAGAGGAAAAGGAGGAGGAGGAGGAGGAGGAGGAGGAGGAGGAGGATGAAGAGATGGAGGAGGAGGAGGAGGAGGAGGAGGAGGAGGAGGAGGAGGAGGAGGAGGAAGACGGGTCGCCGAAGCCCTTCGGAGATACCCTCCAATCTAAGAGGAGGAGATGGAGGAGGAGGAGGAGGAGGAGGAGGAGGAAGAGGAACACGGGTCGCCGAAGCCCTTCGGAGACACCATCCCATCTAGGAGGCCTAAACGAATCCTGCGGGGTCGCCTCGCCACGGGATGCTTCTTCCAGCGGCTGCCCTGATCGCCCCGATCGGCGGCAAGAGGTCCGAGCTACGCTCAGGGTCGGGCATGTCCTCCTGCAGGGGCATTTTCGCGGAAAAATTAAGAATATGCCAAAATACTCAAGAATGGTTCAAAACATATTCGCAAACATCGTGCCCTGCCAATTGTTTCAACTATTTCTGAATGTTCCTCCTGTAGAGGGACGCGTCCGACTTCAAGCTACGCCCCGAAACCCTCTTCGAGGTGCGACCGACACAACCACGACGGAGGCTGTGGCAATTGCCTCGGGGGGCCCTCGCCTGGCCCCGAGACGGTCCACAAAACGACTCGGGAGGAAAAGCCAGTTCAGGGATCTATACTGGCCCGCGTCACGCCAAACCCGGGCCAGTCGGGCCCTGCAGGATCCCACCAATTGCTGGCCTCGGGGGGCCCTCGCGGGGCCAGGAGGAGGAGGAGGAGGAGGAGGAGGAGGAGGAGGAGGAGGAGGAGGAGGGGAGGAAAAGCCAGTGCGGGGCCGTCTCTTCTCAGAGGACGGCAGGGCTCCAGAGGAGGCTCTCCGAGAAAGGCTTTCCCCGGGAGGCCAGTGAGGCCTTCTGAACATGGGATTAGGTCGGGCATGTCCCCCTACATGGACGGTTTCCCCTGGGGCCGTAGGCGACCCAAGGAGGGGAGGGCGAGGAGGGGGAAGAGGAGGAGGAGGAGGAGGAGGAGGAGGAGGAGGAGGCGGAGGAGGGGCTGCTCTGGGGAGTTGAGGAGGAGGAGGAGAGAGGAGGAGGCAGGAGGAGGAGGAGGAGAAAGAAGTGAGGAGGAGGAGGAGGAGGAGGAGGAGGAGGAGGAGGAGAGGAGGGAGGACGGGCGCCTAAGCCCTTCGCGGAATCCATATTAGACAAATAAGCCAATTAAAGGGCTAACAAAGATTAGAAGATCGTCGGAAGATCGTCCCCAGAATAGTTTTTACTTATTCTTTGGCAAATATCTACCTCCTCCTCCTCCGGGCCGTCCTCCTCCTCCTCCTCCTCCTCGTTCATCTCCTACTCCTCCCCTCACCCTCCTCCTGCCATCCTGCATAACCACTCCTCCTCCTCCTCTCCTCTCCTCCTCCTCCTCCTCCTCCTCCTCCTCCTCCAGGGTTCGCCAGGGCCGTCCAAGCGGCGAAACCCGTTGCAAATCCTCCCGAAGCCCTCCGAAGAGCCTCCCGGAACCCTTCCCCGAGGATGGTCGGAAGGTTTCGGGAGGGTCTCGGCTGTTTTGAAAGGAAACCAATCCCGAGCGAACTCTTGACTTTCTAAGGGTAGGGGGAGGGAGGGATGGCTTTTTGGCTCAAGGCTCGGAAGATCTCTTTCTGAGCACAGCGTGCACAGACGGGGGAGCTTGAGACTTGCCTGTGGCCCCACTCCATGCGCGAGCCGAGGAAGAAGTAGAAGCAGGCTGCTTCTTAGAAGGTGCGGACCTTGTCCACAGATGTAGGGCAGCTGCCTTCCAAGAAGCAGCCTCCTTCTGAGAAGCCTCCCCCCCTCCCCCCCTGTCCCCCCTGTGCGCGCCGACGACTCTGAGGAGCCGCGCTTTGAAAAACCCACGGCGTCAGGGTGTCGGGGGTGGGCGGGCGGGCCTCTGCTGGACTCGGCGCCTGAGCCGCGACGCCAAGAGCCCCGGGCAGGGGTGGTCGACGGGCACCCTCCAACAAGTCGCCCGACGCCGCTTGCGAGGGAGACACGCGCGAGGTGTTGGCGCACCGCGTTGCACCCCCATGCAGCGCAGTTGGCCGAGGCAGCCGAAGAGCGGCCAGCAAGGGACGCAAGCAGCCTCTCTGCGTGCCGACGCCCACCGAGGCCGCGGTCGAAGGGAGGGACGGAGCACCACAGCGCCTTGACGCAGATCCTGCTGCGCCCCCGAGCCTCGACGTTGCGAGGTCGCGCTGCGCCCCCTGGGGTCGCCCCCTGTTTGTTTGGCGATGATCGTCTTCTTCCACTTCCTCGTCCTCTCTCCTCCGCCTTCTCGCCTCCTCTCCTGTCGTGCGGGACGTGTGCGTTGGCGTCTGGCCCTCTCGTGCAGCGCGTGCAAATTAAAGTCCTCGCGACTGCACTGGCGCAATCCGGCCGGGGCCCCGGGTTTGCCAGGCGTGCGAGGTGGGGCCTGCGCCTGCGAGAAGATCGCAACATCGCGAACCAACGCGACCACAGCCCCAGAGACCCCACCGTGTCTGCCGCACGTTCGAGCCAAGGGCCGATCTGCGACGGTCTCGGGGCCCGACAGGGGGGCGATAGCGCTGAGCGAGGCAGAGAATGCAGCGCCCGGATCTCAGGCGGCTGCCGCGAGTCCAGTTCGTCATCGCTGCGCCCAGCGTGCCCGGGAAGAGGAGAAGGAGGAGGAGGAGGAGGAGGAGGAGGAGGAGGAGGAGGAGGAGGGGGAGGAGGAGGAGGA